ATGCCAGCCTCATTCTACAACAGTGGCACCATATAGCATTTGTCCCTTTGTGACTGAGATCCCTCACTCAGCATAATGGATATCTTTCTTAAAGATGGGAAACATAAGCAAAGAAGTAAATGGATATAAAGGTAGTTTAGTTTTGAACATATTGTGTCTGTGATGATCATCTAGTAAGCAGTTAGATTTGAACATCATTAGCTGAGAAATAATTCTATTGTGAGTTTAACTATCCCAGAGAAAAGAATGTGGAAAGACAAGAACAAAGTGCCAAATATACTGTTTGTTAAGAAAACCAGAAGAAATTAGTGATGTTGTTAGGTGCCAGCTAATTGTCTATGACTCATAGCAATGCTATGAACAAAGGATCAGGACCCTGACCTTTTCCATCCTCATAATTTCTGCCATGTTGAAGTCCACTGTCATAATCATTGTAGTAAATCCTTATCACTGAAGGTGTCCCTCTTTTTTATTGACTTTAAATTTTCCTAGTATGATGCCTTTCCCCAAAAACTGGCCCCTTCTGTTAACATGCCCAAAGTATGTAAGGTAAAGTTTCACCATTTTTGCTTCTAATAAGGCCCATGTTGTATGTTCTCCAATACAGATTTATTTATTCTTTTGAGACTCAATCGGACACTTGATACTCTCACCAGCATCCACAGTTCATTCTTCTTGGTTCTTCCTTATCCATTGTCATAATTTCATAGGCATAGGAACTAATTTAAAATACCATGGCTTAGACCAAGCCATGATACACACAAAAATAATTTATATTATGTATGCTTCTCAAAATTCTTAAAATAATCTGATACTTTGGTATACATGGACTGTTTTAAAGACAGATATATTCAATTTAATTACATTTTCATACTTTTACCAATGATAAATAATGAGATAAACACTATTAGTTGACATTATATAAATAAAAGTAAAAAATACATTTCTTGGTCTGCTTTTTGTGGTTCTGAATCACAATTTTCCTAGCATACAGTAATTGACATTCAAGTCAGATGTTAAAATAACTTTTATGACCAGCTGGGGAAAAAGAACAGGATCATGAAAAGAATATCAAAATACATAATCCTTAGGTATAACTATCACTTATAAAAGTCTTTTAATAAAACCAGTTTGTACAATAATACAGAAAAGAGCAGTGGTTTTGATTTCTAGTATTAAATAATACTTATCTTGAAGAAAGCAAAATTAAGATGTTTCCTTGAACTTCACACAATCCAACAGATCATATAGTTGTGATAGATGGGATCCAACCTCTACATAATAGCAATCACTTTTGTAAAGATGATTTGTACTTAGTGTATTTGATCATAGAAAATATCCTATTAAAGCCATTTGGATTCTGTGAGTAAAGTAGTATTTCAGATACTAAAGACAAATTTCTAGTGCACGTCAATAGTTAATAAAAAACTGTCTTGTGCACAGTGTAAGGAAACATATGCTTTTAAAACACTACAATGCCTCTGTGTCAGTAAAAAACTATTGATTAAATTATCTAATTGAGATTATTTCATTTTAGAATTAATATTTGACATAAAAATGATTCTAGGAAACTTGATAGGATAGCTAGTAGAGCATTCAGATCTATATGTAAGTGATAGAAAACAACACAGTAGTATATAATTAAGAAATTTTAGACAAGAATAAAAAATGCAAAAGCTACATTAGAAAATGAGCCAATTTATTTCCTTATTCTGTCTTTTTGTATGTGTGTATGAGATATATATTATATATATGGAAAAAGTAAGGAGCTGTGCTACTACTCTACCAAATGCATGCAGTTCGAACTGACCAACTGCTCTGCAGCAGAAAGTTGGGCAATCTCCTCCCATGTGATTTACTGCTTCTGAAAAGCCTCTCAAAGGTCAGCTATGGGTCAGTTTCAATTTGATGGTACATAATAACAACAACCACCTTGGTCCCAGGACACCAAGGACATAGGTCAGTTCTGATCTGTGTGGGGAGCCAGGGCTACCACTACCAAGGCTTTGGTGTGGCTGTGTAAGTCTAATGTGCCCTCTCCTCCTTAGGAAAAGAGAAACTTATGTTCTGTCCCTGCAGATGAGGCTCAGGTGCCTGGAGGCCTCCTTCTTTGCCCTAAGGAGGAACACTGAACAAGATAAGAGTTCTCTCCTGGTTACAGAGTCCTAATTAGAACTGGTACCAGTCTTACAGAGATATGCATTCACATAATCCCTACTCACACTCTGAGATCAAGTACCATCGTTTAGACAAAGACCATGGGCCATGGGGGTCTAACAGCTCACCCAGTATGGCCTGGCTAGTAAGTGGAGGACCCAGCATTCTAACCCGAGCAGTTGGATTCCAGAGCTGTTTTCCCACAGGGAGACATCCAGCCAACTCACTGCAAACTTGGACAGGGGGCCTGCCTCTGCTCCTGGGCATCAGAGGGTTGGAAAGTGCCACAAGGAGAGCTCCAAAGAGTGGATGTGGGCTAGGGAAGCTGCCCAGCTCAGGAAACTACCGGCAGATGACAAGGCGAGGGATTGCTGCAGGGACGCCAGCTGGGCCTGACCCTGACTCTGCTCTGACGCTCTTGCAGGGATGGAAGCGATGGCGGCCAGTACTTCTTTGCCTGACCCTGGTGACTTTGACCAAAATGTGCCCAGGATCTGTGGGGTGTGTGGAGACCGAGCCACTGGCTTTCACTTCAATGCAATGACCTGTGAAGGCTGCAAAGGTTTCTTCAGGTGAGTCCTTCACCGAGACTCTCCCCAAGAGTGAATGGATTGTTGTTGTTATGTGCCATCGAGTCGTTTTCGACTCATAGCGACCCTATGCACAACAGCCCTAAACCCTGCTCTATCCTGCGCCAACTGCACTGCCTCTGACACACCCATCCCGATTACCCCAGTCACCGAATCAATCCATCTCATAGAGGGTCTTCCCCTCCTGCGCTGTCCCTCCACCCTCCCAAGCGTGATGTCCCTCTCCAAGGACCCGTCCCTCCTGGTAACATGTCCAAAGTATGTCAGACGAAGCCCCAGAATCCTTGCCTCCAAGGAGTAGCTTGGTTTAATCCTCTCCAAGATGAATCTGTTTGTTTTCCTGGCAGTCCATGGTACATTCAGTACCCTTCTCCAGCACCACAGCTCAAAAGCATCCACTCTCCTTCTGTCCTCCCTAGTTATTGTCCAACTCTCTGAAGCATAACAAGCGATTGCAAATACCATGGCCTGTATCAGGCACACCTTAGTCTCCAGAGAGACGCCGTTGCTCCTGAGTACTTTAGAGAGGTCCCTAACAGCAGACTTTCCCATCGCGATACACTTTTTGATTTCCTGACTGCTGGTGCCAAGAGTATTGACTGTGGATCCGAGCAAACTGAAACTGTGAACAATCTCAATCTCTCCGCCATCCATCCTGACACTGCCAATTGGTCCAGTGGTGAGAATCTTTGTCTTCTTGACATTGAGCCTCAGTCCATACTGAAGGCTGCAGTCCTTGACCCTTCGCAGCAAGTGCATGAGGTCCTCCTCAGTTTCAGCAAGCAGGGTTGTGTCATCTGCAAAACGCAGATTGTTAATAGATCTTCCACCAATCCTGATGCCACAATTCTCCTCATAGAGCCCAGCCTCTCGGATAACCTGCTCTGCATACATGTTGAAAAGGTATGGAGACAGGATGCATCCCTGGCGTACACCCTTCCCAATTTTGAACCATGCAATGTTACCCTGCTCTGTTCTGACTACTGCCTCTTGGTCCAAGTATAGGTTTCGCATTAGCACAGTTAAATGTTCTGGGATTCCCATTCTTCTCAGAGTCAGCCACAGTTTGTTATGATCCACACAGTCAAATGCCTTTGCATAATCAATGAAACACAGATAGACATTCTTCTGGTATTCTCTGCTTTCAGCCAAGATCCATCTAACATCAGCAACAATATCCCTAGTACCACGACCCCTTCTAAACCCAGCCTGGACATCCGGCAGTTCTCTGCTGATGTGCTGTTCTAATCGTTTTTGGATAATCTTCAGTAGAATCTTGCTTGCATGTGAAATCAATGACACTGTTCTGTAGTTTCCACACTCAGTTGGGTCACCCTTCTTTGAGAAGGGAACAAATATAGATCTCTTCTAGTCAGTTGGCCAAGTGGTTGTTTTCTAGATTTCTTGGCACAACTTGGTGAGCACATCCAGGGCAACATCTGTTATCTGAAATACTTCAATTGGTATATCATCTATTCCTGGGGCCTTATTTTTTGCTATTTCCTTCAAAGCAGCTTGAACTTCTTCCTTCATCACCGTAGGCTCTTGCTCATATGTTATTTCTTTAAATTCCTCTGTATCTGCCAATTCCTTTCTATATAATGACTCAGTATATTCCTTCCATCTTCTTTTAATACTTCCTGGATCATTTAATATTCTGCCCAAAGCATCCTTGATTACAGCAACTCTAGGTTTGAATTTGTTCTTCAGTTTCTTGAGCTTAAGAAATGTTGAGCGAGTTCGGCCCTTTTGATTTTCCGTCTCTAGCTCCTCGCACATTTCATTGTAGTATTTTGCTTTGTCATTCCGAGCAGCCTTTTGGAATCTTCTGTTCAGCTCTTTAGTATCTTGAATTCTTCCTTGTGCTTTGGCTTCTCTACGCTCCAGTGCAATCTTCAGAGTCTCTTCTGACATCCATTTTGGTCTTTTCTTCCTCTTCTGTCTTTGTAATGACCATTTGCACTCTTCCTGGATGATACCTTTGACATCCACCCACAACTCATCTGGTCTTCGCTCATTAGTGTTCAAGGAATTAAGAGTGCCCCAAAGCCTGTGTTTTCCTTGTCTATTTTCTGACCAGTTCTATGTAACATGTTGCCTCTGTGTGGCCACTGGAAGAGGCAGGATCTTGGTGAGGGCTTTCATTCCTACTCTTCTCTCAGCTCCGCCTATGTTTTCTCACCTTCTCAGAGGCTGCTTCCTGAGGCGGGTATGTTGGTTCCATTACCCCAATGAGGTATGTTGGTTCCATTACCCCAGTGGCCCACAGACTTGATGCTAACAGCTGTTCCTGTCCTTCTGAGATAAACTTTCTCCTGTTGAGAACAGGACCCTAACCAAGAAAGAAGTTCCCTGTAAGTCTGAGATCTTACAGTAGGAGCTTACTATCCCTAGTTCAAAATGTTCCTTGGAACAATGGAAACGACACTTCTTGTTGGACTCCTAAAACCCAAACGATGTCCACATCTTTATCCATGGCTCTTTGTACCCAGGTCTGAGAGCAAGTCTCAAGCTGTATGGAGTCAGGAATGTACCCGCTTTCATGTTTAGCCTTTACCAGAAGCCTCTTCTCTGCTGTTAACCCAGGATTACAAGTGCAATTAGAGTGGGAACGGTGTTGGAAAGGACTGAAAGATGTTCCCATCCAAGCCCATGAGAGAGGACAAGAAGGGTATGGATTATAGGATTGGAAACCGGGAGAAAAAAGCATTTGGGAGGAACAAGAGGAAGATGAGGACTGGAAGAAGCAGCCAACAAAGAGCTTCTGAATAGATCTGATAGCACATACAACAGTAACAACAGTGTCATGGTCTTGAATGGAGGTGGGTAGAGTTGAGGACAGAGCCGTGAAGAGAAGAAAAGAACAAATCAAGTACAGGATAAGCACTCTGGAGCCTGGTTCCTGCCTGAGTTAAAGAGCTTGCCTGGCTTCGAGAACAGAGAGAGTCAGAATCCATGTGGATTTGGGCAAAATTCTCCTCCTGCTCATAAGACTCCGTGAAGGCAGACTCCTGACTCTCCTGCTTTCTGCCCCAGGAACCAGTAGGTCTGGAGTTTCAGTCCCTGAGTAATCTCTGGGCAGCAGGGTTTCTGTGGGTGCTAATTGCCTGTTTGGCCTGGCGAGGGTGGCCTGCTTGGCTTCCAGGCAGGAGGCTCCCCAGCTCGGGGAACCAGCCCAGCAGCATCGCTGGCTCCATCCTGCTGCCGCGTCTGCCTGTCCTCTGGCCTGCAGCCTGTGCTTCCTGAAGGGTCGGCCCTCTGGAGTGTGGAGCACATGTCCCAAGTGTTACTTGGCCCCTTTGCTACCAGGGCCTGGGATGGGGGTGCTGCCCTCTGAGTGAGGATGGAGAAGGATAGTGCATACTTGAGATTCTGCTTCATTATGAAGCAGGGGAAGGATGGAGAGTTTACTCCCGTGCGATTAACTGCCTCTGAAAACCTGCTTGAGGGTCAGCTAACAAGAGATGTAAGGCTATGGCCTGGATGTGCCGTTAATACACTAGATGTCTGTTCAAAGTCCTTGACTTCTCTGTGCTTCCGTTTCCTCATACAAACACATGAGTATGCTAATATCTGACTCTTTTACTATATAGAGTTCATCTGAGACTTAAATGTTCCCCTTTCCTGAAAAAACAGCTTTGAAAAACATGGTGTGCCTTGTAAGTGTGTCATTGTCGAGCCTCATGGGTCAGGAGTGATGCCCTTAGTGAAACCTCTGAGGGTTCCACTATTTTTTTTCTCAAGAAAACCACCCAAATAAAATCTCTCTAATTATCCATCTTTCCTCATTCATTTGGCAGATGTTAATGATCCAGCATTGTGCTTGCAGTCAGCAGTATGAAGAGTCCCACTTAAGATCATTTTGTTAATCAAACAAAACACAAAATTTGGTTATGTGAACACAAACACATTTAATTATATGTTAACCACAGGGTCACCAGTAGCTCTAAGCTCTCGGGACTGTTTGGCTACTTATGGACTCCACCACTGAATCCCCTCTGACTGGGTGCCCCCCACTGGTTGAGTTCAACTCTGGGAAGAGGGACTGACCTTTAGATGGCTGCTCTTTGGATTGTTGCACGTTGGAGGTCAGCTCCTCCCTAGAAGTAGCTCCTTTGCACGTGGGGTTGCTTCTCTCAGACACACCTCTAGGCCCTGAGTCCTTGAGACAGGACCATATTTGTCAACTGAGTGGAGAGAGGACAGGCTCTGTCATGTTCATAGCCAACTGTGGGAGATGGCAGGATGGATATGGTGGCACATTTGCGCATGCATGTCGCCACAGGCCAGCTGTGCAGCTGTGTTGCCTGTGGGCTCATTGTGCTACCATAGCCCAGCTGAGACCCTTGGCCCTATTTTTGGCTACCTGTTAGACTCTATTGCTGGCCAATGGCCACAACCACTGTCTGCAAGGCCTGGCATTATGGGAAGCAGATTGCGTTTGTTGTATTGCCCTGCCCTCTGTCTACCTTATGATTCCACTGTCCTTATCTTGATAACTGAACCAGTCTGCACATTCCCGAGAGCCAACAGTTCTGTTGTTGCTTGACTTGAATTTTGTTTGATGAATGAATAAATAAATAAAATTTATCCTCCTCTCTTTATTTTACCTTCCTCCTTCTCCTTCTTTCCTCCATCCAAGTTAAACTTGGCACTTTTCCAGTTCACCCTAGCTCAAATAAACAAAAAGGCCAAAACTCATTGTCATTGAGTCTAAATCAACTCACAGCTGACCCTCTCATGGATTTTCAGAGGCAGTAAATTGCACGAGAAGAGATTGCCTATAGTTCAGAGCAGCAGGTGGATTTGAACTACCTGTCTTAGGGTTGACAGTGTAGCTCCCTATCCACAGACCATCAAAGCTCAAATAGTTATTTGATATTTCCACTGCTCTATGTGTGTCTGTTTACTTGTGAAGTTCCAAGGAAGGAAGGAAGGAAGGAAGAGGAACTTACGTACTTGATAAATAACTTTCATTTCAG